TGGGGGTATCAAAATCTAAGAATAGTGTTAGATCAGACCGGAGTCAGGTCAGTGGACGGCTATTTTAAGAAAGTGCTTGATACACAATTCATAGAATTGAACCCGCAGAGCGGATAATAGTATAAAACATTTGAAAAGAAATTATACACAACACTATCCGAGTTTGAACCTTACAGTCTCGTCAGGTGATAAGGTAGAAACCCGTGTAGAGTTTGTGTGTAATTTTTTTCAATTCTTTATATATATATATATATATATATATATATATATATATATATATATATGCGAGAAGAGGGTTGGTGTAGAAAGAATAAAATAAATAAACACATTGACACAAACGCAAATACATGCACCTAGATAAATACAAACGGATAAATTGGCACTTAGCTAAGAACAGAAATAATATATATATATATATATATATATATATATATATATATATATATATATAGTTGTATATTTAGGAAGCAATCCTTCCTTTATGCATGTTTCATTAAAAACGACAGACAACGTACTACGGTTAAGCTTTTTATTTAATTTTTCTCGTGTCCGAACAAGAGCTTTCTTTTCTGAACAAAAGGTGTGTAAGAACTGTCCAAATTATTTACATTATTCGGACTATTGTCCTCAACTTTGTCGCCATATTTATCACAACGTTTCGGCCGTTGTACGCTCCGGCCTTCTTCAGGTGGTTGGAATGTCGAACTGAACCCTGAACTCACTGGGGTAGACTGTTCTAGTTCCACGTGCCATGTTTAATGGATTAGAACAGTCTACCCCAGTGAGCGAAATAAAGGGTTCAGTTCGACATTCCAACCACATGAAGAAGGTCGGAGCGGACAGAAAGAAGGCCGAAACGTTGTGATAAATATAGCGACAAAGTTGAGTACAATAGTCCGAATAATGTAAATAATATACATAATACCTCATCTCAGAAATATATACAGAACTGTCCAAATGTTTTATATTTCCGGGCGCTTTCGGCTATACCTTTAGCCATTATCAAGAATGATTCGATTTTTCAGCTTAATTGAGTTTGTGCGTTCTGTGTATGTCTTAGTGTGTGGCAGGGATGTTTTTTAATTTCCGAATACGGTTAGCACAGTGTGACTTTGTTCGTAGTTAATATTGTTAAAATTTGGCTCTTTCTTTTTTTATTATTAAAGCTTCCATTATTTTCAGTCTTTTTTGCAGGTGGATGCAGTTAATATATTTGTGTTTTCTACTAGTATGTTCCTAATGGTGTCGGGTAAATTTGTGTGTGTGTTTAAATGGGTTCTAATGGAGCTGTGATCAGATAGGTGTAATGTAAGACGTCTTGATAAGCATGTAGTTGTGTAACCGATGTAATTATTTATGAGTCCGGTTTTGATCAGGAACACAGAACACTCACTGACGGGCGGCCTTACGATTGCGTCCAGCATGAAACAGCCTCTGAAACAGCCTCTGAGTGTTGACTTCAATGTTCACTTATATATATATATATATATATATATATATATATATGTGTGTGTGTGTGTGTGTGTGTGTGTGTGTGTGTGTGTGTGTGTGTGTGTGTGTGTGTGTGTGTTTTCCTCCGTTATATTTTTGAATAATTTTCCAATATTTTAAACCTAATGCTCGGCTAAATTTAGAATTTGAAATTTGTAATTTTTGATTTGACTGTGAAATTAGACTTTAATTATTTCATATTTCTAATTTAATCTAATATTAACATTAATCAACGAATGGTTTGCATTTAGAATATATTGTCACGTTTTTTGAATTACAATATACTTTGATTCTGATTGGTCATCATAGGTTACGTAACAAGTTTTACCCTATTAAGAGGGTTTGATTTGGTTTTGACCTTTCAAAAAACCTTCTTTATTTCGCAATCAACACCATCACTTGTTAAGACTCCAGAAGTGTTGAAACAAAATGGCTACTTTTGTAGTGTTGTTATAACATGTTTATGTTATAATTCTTGAATAAATATTATATATATACATGTGTGTGTGTGTTTAAATTAGGATATAAAAGATTTTCAATTTGACAAATGGAAGCATTTCATGGAAATAAATTTTTATTGAAAATATATTTTATAATGCATTTCTTCATTCAAGGTTTCATCAAATCCAAAACCAAAAGAATGTATGTTTATGTGTATATGTGTGCATGTTTAAATAATGCATCTTACTTTCCCTCGATTGAAGTTTCTCGTGATTAAAGAAAAAAGAAAACGAGTAACTTTTTTTAAAAAAAAAGAGATTAATATTTAATCTCTATCTTTTATTTACAATTCTTAGTTCAAGTCGAAAGTTGTTAATGTATTTTCCCAGCTTTCTTGTACCGAATTAAAAGACAAATCCTCTTCTCATTATCAGAATGGATAGAAAGCAAGACATTCATTTAGCCTTTTCTGAAATTATTCCAAGACAACATCTGATACAATCCTTCAGAATGGTTTGAAAGAAAAAGATTTGTTTTTTGGTCTATCCATGCGGTTTCCGTGTCGACAATATAGTTTTTTATTTTTAAATCAGATATAGAAATTTTGTCAGGGTTTAAAAATTTAACAAATAGAAGCGTTTAATTAAATAGATTCAACTGAAAATAGATTTGATATGAATTATAATTCATATATATATATATATATATATATGTGTGTGTGTGTGTCTGTGTGTGTGTAAGTGCGTGTGCGCGAGCGCGCTTGTCTGTGTGTGTATGTATGTGTTTAAATTAGGATATAGAAATCCCCACAGAGTTTTTTAAAAATTTAACAAATTGAAATCTATTTTCAATCGAATCTATTTCATTTCAAATGAAATAGATTTGATTGAAAATAATTTAATAAGAATTATAAGAATATATATATATATATATATATATATAAAATTTATATATATATATATATATATATATATATAATTAGTATATATATATATATATATTATTATTAATATATATATATATATATATATATATATATATATTACTAATAATAATGTAAGATTCCCCCAAACGATTGAGGTCTTTAGGTCACTAGTGTTTATGAAAAATAAATACGTAAAAAAATCGCCTTTCTCTCTGATGTGTGCTGATAGCGTAGTAGTTTGAATCTCCGACTGATACAAATCCGTCGGGTTTCGATCCCAGCTTGAAATGATCGGGTGTCTAGCTACACTGATGAGCTGTGGTCCAGTGAAACAGTTTGTCTTATATATATATATATATATATATATATATATATATATGTAAATCCCGAGAGAGTTTTTCAATTTAACAAATGGAAACGTTTCATCAAAATCCATTAAAAACTTTCGACTTGAACTAAGGCAGCCATCGTTCTTTCATGCACATTTCACTGAATTGGATAGACAGGGTGATTTTATTTACTTTTTTACACAATTTCACATACGATCTAATTTTTTTTTCTTTTCAGATGATAAATTATATAAAAACAAATGAACGAAAATTATAAATAGGACGAAAATAGAATTAAGAACATTATAAAAAAATGTATAACACCAGTTGACAATAGCCAAAAAATTAGATTAATTATTTATTACAAAAATTTAAAACCTCTAACCTTATATTTAAAAATAATAATTCACCAATTAGAAGAAAATTAAATGGGGCAAATATTAGTTACGAATTTAAATGCCCATTAAGGAATTGTATTCCTGATCAATCAAAATTCGTAAATAATTATATATGCCACACTACAACATGTTTGACATGCAGACTCCCTCTACACCTTTCTGACAATAGCTCAATTAGATCTCATTTAAATTTTCATGGGGACATACCGGGGACACTATTCGTAACATACTTGTTGACAACACTAATATAATAGCATCATCAACATGCCAAAAAATGCAAAAAATAATGAAAGCCTTATTAATAAAAACAAAAGCACCAAGACTTAATAATATCAACTATGAACATAGACACAATATCTTGACCGTGTTTTGAAAACATTTTATAAAACATACATGCAACAGATTATTTCTTATTTAACAGTTAAAATATTTAATCCTTGAAAATGGCTAAATGCATAGCCGAAAGTCCCGGATAAAAATAACATTCGGACAGTTTTTATATAATTTATCAGTTGAAAAGAAAAATTATTAGATCGCATGCGCAATTGCATAAAAAACTAAATAAAAGTACCTTGTCTGTCATATTCAATGAAATGCTCATATATATATATATATATATATATATATAATGAGTACAGACGATCCTTAAAAATCCATTCAGCTAAAATATATTTCATAAATTTTAATTTTGAAAGAGGAAGAAAGAAAAAAGTTCAATATAAGCTTTTAAAAGACTTAAATATGACGGTGACCTAGAAATGTTTTTTTTTTCTTCTTTCGGCTTATGTTTAATTCTTCCTTCTTTCCGTTCTTTTTTTCCCCATTTCTCACTCTCTTCTTCTCTCTCCCCTCCCCTTCCTTTCCCTCTTTCACTTTCTCTCTACATTTTTTTTTAAATCCTTTTACTGATTTTTTTTCTTTTTTTTCTTCCTCTTTTAATATTATTTTTCCCCTTTTCTTTTTTCTTTCCCCTTTTCCTTCCCTCTGGATAAACTCACTCCATTTATTAAAAAACTTCGGACTGAAATTATAACAATGTATTTTCAAGGATCGTCTATACACATTATATATATTGCTCTGTTAATTACATTGAACTTTCTTTAGTTGGATTGATATAGTCCTTGTAATTATTCCTAATAATTATCAATTAATATTATATATATATATATATATATATATATATATATATATATATATATTGTGTGTGTGTGTGTGTGTGTGTGTGTGCGTGCGTGCGTGCGTGCGTGTGTGTGTGTGTGTGTGTGTGTTCGGAGAAGGAATTAAAAAAAAATTAGATAAATTCAAGTAAATTAAAAATACATTTATCGACGCTAAAATTCACCAGTCTGTCACTCAAGTACTATTCTTCGCAGTTTCGGGATTTACTGGTTATTTTGATCGCTAAATAACAGACAATTAGATACAGACAATTGGGATAGATAGATAGATAGATAGATAGATAGATAGATAGATAGATATGATAGATAGATATGAATAGACTGAGATAGATAGATAGATAGATAGATAGATAGATAGATAGATAGAACAGATAGATATAGAACAGATGAGATAGATAGATAGATAGATAGATAGATAGATAGATAGATAGATATGAATAGACTGAGGTAGATAGATAGATGGGTTATTCCTAATAATTATAGGGAATGATGATATAGAATGATTGATTGTTTGTTTTGAAGATTCTATATGTTCATGGGCTCATAAATATTCCCATATTCCCAATGGCGACCTGGTATGAATTTTACAGCAGTCATCATCGATTGATATACAGGAATTCAGCTAATAATAATCGAACTTGAATGCCTGTTGGTTGGATCCATTGTCAGTAAGTCTGTAAAATCCACCCGACTTCCTTGTCTCCACCCATTTGTTAAATCAGCACACCATAAAAGCAACGAAGGGCTT